ATTGGAAAAAATCCCATTTTTCCAGAAGTCGAGAGATGAAACACTACTGTGATATGACATTATCGGCACATTCGGCATTTTCAATCTCCGCAATTATACAATTCCCGATAAATTGTTGTAGAGTGTAGCATACTCGGTGAGCATCACATATTTTATGAAGTTTAACGAGAATGCTTGTTACGTCGGCTTGAAAAAGTTTCGAGGAGACGTGCTATATAAACGCGAGAAACTTAGTGTAGTAGTATGTAAGTGCTATGGGAATTGGAGGGTTAAGGTTCCTTAAATACATCTTGGAATATCCTAAGATAAATTTGAAATACTTCGCGCATCCCCCTTGTATACTCATGCATTACACGTGGAAAATACAACCTTCTTCCGCATAACTCATTTATTTGAAATGTATTGTTCTATTTCGCATTTTCCATTTAAATTGCGAAGAAATAATAAAGCGTGAAAAACAAAAGATTGTAAATGTAAAAATATTTTTATCATTAATTTTCTCTTTAAAAAACATATCAGTATATTATACCCACAATATTTTATAATTTATAATTATATTATAAATATAATTATATTATATTATAAATTTTTAAATTATATTATATATAAATTATATTAAATTATATTATATATAAAATATCGTGGGTGTAATTCAGAAAAACTTTATAAAATATAGAAGAATGCAAATAATATTTTTTCTATATTTTTAAAATTAATATGTATTGTTGAAAAAAGTAGTTAGTAAAATTTTATTTTTTTTACAACTTACAATTTTTCTATTTCTCGTGTTCAAGCAATAATTATTTATGTTTTTCGAATGTTTCTCGGATATCAAAAGTGGCTTTATTCACACTTAAGAAACAAAGATTTTATCTACGGTAAATGATAACATTCTTCTTCGTTTTTGTCTTTGGAAAGTTTACCTTGCGACTTGGATATTCGCAGACGCGACCTAGTCGCAGAAACTAGTGGGATAATAGAACGCGTTACATCTTTACCATAACGCCGTGCATTTCTAACTTGAGCGCGCTGAATAGACGACTAATGATTTCAACAAAGCAAGTTCTGAATACCGCTTAACACCGTTTTACGCACGTTAGTTAGAGAAGACCTATTAGAAGAGATAGGAACGGTGCTTTACTTGGTGAAACGATACTAAAGCTACTTGTGAATAATTCTATGATTTTTTCAGAAAAAAGAAAAATTAAACATTTAATTACCAAAAATTTAGATTTGAATACCACTAAATTTATTAAACTACTTAGATTCGTTCATTAATAACTTTGAAAATTGTGTTAAAATGTAATTTTTGCTTTCAAAACTATAAAAGTTTGTTATTGCACTAATCGTCGGACAAATAATCCACATTTATCTTGAAACTGAATAAATGGAAAATTTACAGAGCGCAATACGGGTTGTTGATCGAGAATCTTCGCGGACGCGTTTCGTTGAAAAATACATGAAGTAAACTTGATGCTCGTCGTCGTTGCTCGGCAAATTTACCTTTGGACAAGGCGGTGTACCGCTCCGTGTACCTCAGTTTCGAGACGATA